ATCGCGTGAATCCTCGAAACGGCGGTCATAGTAATCGTAATCCTATAGTTGTAAAATCCAAAAAGTTAGTGTGTTTAAGGTAAAACCATTTTGGTACATTTAGGTGTATATGTTGATATATTTAAGATATTCGCGGCGAGTCGATTTGAAGATTAACTGCTGAAAACCTCGAGCAATCAAATTGCTGGAGACATTGAATTATGAAATCAAGCAATTGATTATTTCTTAAATATTTTCGATAAATCATATTTGACTTTTGGGGCTTTAAGCAGTAGAATCTTTTAAACGACCAGTCGGGAGTAGCCAAATTGGTTGTTTGTCTGCATTTACCCTAAAGCCGTCCATTATGCGATCACGCAGGAATGGCGGCGGCGGCGGTGGCGGCGGATACGGATCACGACTGTACATGCGATCTCTGTAGCCGCCGGCGCTCAGCGGTGGTGGTGGCTCACGTCCACCAGTGCCTGTCCAACGCGGACATTCTTTCGACCAATGACCGGAACGGCCGCAACGATAACACTGCTCCGGATCGCCCATGCCCGGCTTGGGGCGCACCCGGCTAGTGGATACCTGCACCTTGAGCGGCTGGCCATCGACAACGCGACCGTTCAATTCCTTGATAGCATCCTGGACATCACCGACACAATCCAAATGCACGAACCCATAGTTGCGCACAATGTCGCATTCGACGACGGTGCCGTATTTCTGAAATAGTTCGCGCACCTCCGGCGCACGCGTTTTGTCGGTTAGATTTCCAACGAAGATTTTCGTTGTTGGCGTATTGGGGGCGCGTCGGCTTTTGGCGGCCTCCACCTTGATGGCGTTATCGTTCAGCACGTAACCGTTCAAGTTCTGTATGGCATCGCGACCCTGCTGTTCGGTTTCCATGTGCACAAAGCCATAGTTCTTCACCACATCGCATTCGACTACAGTACCGTATTTCTCGAAAAGCGCACGCAATTCGGTTGCCTGCGTCTTTTCATCGAGATTACCGATGAACAACTTGAACGTGCCGGCTCCGGGCATCACGGCGACGGTTTCGGCTGCGGCGTCGTCCACGGTTCTTGCGTTTATTCAATTTCTTGGGAAGCTTGAGCGTTAGCGTACGCGATTTGTATTCTTTTTTTGTTTACGCGTTATTGACGTGGGTGCAGCGCAGCTTGAGAACGACGACAACGGCGGCGGCGACCGCGACCTCAAAGTGAAAGAAGAAGAAGCAATGCAATTTTTCATTTTGATTTGTACTGAGGCAGGGTGCAAGCAATTCGATACAAATTAAACAACAAAGAAAGGTCACAACGCGTCTATTAAACTTAGAATCAGACACATGCACAACCCGTGAAAAATCATTAAATTTCCACACAATATACATAACAAGATGGCGGCGACAGCGACGGCGGCAAGGCGAACCCGTAGTAGTAGTATGTGGCAGTGGCAAAACGACGGCTTCAAATTGTAAATATGTTTACATTTATAAAGACTTCTTACCTGTGCACTTTTAAAACCAAATAAAATATTGCTTGAATCTACTTTTCGTTTTTTCCTTTCAGCAGCTCACACAAAACTCACTTTTTCACAACTTTTCGGCACAATGACTTTTATGTATATGTGCTAGAGCTGACAAAACAAAATCATCGATTATAGACAACTATCACTATCATTGCCGGAGTGCCGATATACTATCGACACAGTCGTGCATGCGTGCTTATTTCGATATTATTCTTATTTTCATTTTTTTATTTCAAATAAACACTTGGTTTCAGTTGCTGTTATCCATAAATTAATCAAGCATATATAACCAACGGCATTCGATGGTATTATGTTGATCAGCTGGATCTCCTTCAATTTATAAGCTAACATCATGCTGCAAATGCAAAAATATAATCAAAATTATCGATAAAACCCATTATAGGGCTCTACCTTTGCTGTTAGTATGCAACACTGGCACTGTGAATTAGCGCTCTTATTAAAAAAGCGGGAAAGATAGTTGTAATTAAACTGGCATAATAATGGAAACTCCTACGGGACGTGGTGCACGGCCCACACGTACCGCTACACCGCGCCTCTCGGAGCGCAAGAAGCAATTGTTTCGCAGCCGCAGCTCCATGATGGACCAAATAGATGACGACTGTGACGTCGAGGACCCTTTGTTGGGTATAGCACCCCTAAAGCCAAGGCGCCAAAGTCAGTCCATTAAAGCAGCCGAGAAGCCATCTAATGTTCGTAATCTGTTCGACCACAGTGCTGGTGGAGATGTCCGCAGATTGCGATTGCGCGCCAGCACCAGCAGCTCACCGGAGACTAATAAGGAAAATAAAAGCGCTCAGAAGACACGTGGCCCTGGCCTAACATTGGGCACGGAGGAGCAGTTGCCACATTTGTTTACCAAAACCATGCGTATCAATAGCAATAGCAGTACCAGCCAAAGCCACAACTCTAGTCCACGCACACCCAAATCCCAAGAACAAGTCGATGACACGAGCACGGACATGGATGACTCGCCCATTGACCAAAACCGCAGGGCAGCTAAAAGAGTGTACAAGAAGTCGGATATAGTAACAATCGATTCTTCACCCGAATCCGGCTCAATGTCACCGCAGAGCAAGGTGCGCAAGACGCACAAGGAATGCATATCGACAATGGCCTTTTATTCACATTCTGCCAACCCTAAAGTTGCCTTGCGAAGATCAGGTCCAAACCCTTCGAGAGGAGCACATCAGCAGCAACAACGCGTCGCAAAGGCTAAAGTTACTTCGCCCAGCTCTCGACCTAGGTTGGGTATTAATAAGGGCGTTCGTCACAACATACGCAAGCCCCAGCGCACTGCTGCGTCCATCAATTTGGATGACATTTTGGGCTCTTTGCGGAATGAAAAGTTACGCCGGCTGATTACCACGGGGCGTGAAGAGCGCGCAAAGATAGAGGAGGTCCACCAAATACTTCGCAGTGCCAAAGATCCCATTAAAATGGCCAAGCCCCTTAGCGTTATGGCTCTTGATGACGCCAACAACAACAATAACAACAACAAGAGTCCCTCAGCACTATCCCTATCTCCCACATCACTCGACTTTTCCGATCTAAGCGATGAAGAAGAAGTGCGTGCAACTAAAGACCCATCCTCTGCAATGGATCTGGAACCGGTGATACCATTGATACGACATACTAATGTAACAGACACATCCCCAAAGACCGACCCGCCCACCAATCGGAAGTTCTTTAAATCGGGCCGACGTAGCAGCACCTGTATGGAAGTGCGCATCACGGACAATATACGAGCTAGTGTTAGTCAGGGAAGGATCTCATTGGTAGAGGCACCACCCAAAAAGCACCGGCAAGTGCGTGTTAAATCGGCGACAATATTTTCCGCGGAGCAGGCAACCGTGGATGCGATACTACGTAATCTAGATGATACCATTGTGGATGAAATTGTTGAATCGGAAGTAAAACCGCCCCAGTCCCAGGCAGCGCCTAAGACAGAGAAGCATGTGTTGCTGCCGGATCCTTATGAAAAGTACCGCCAACAAATACCATACCAGACTGACGATCCGGCAATTATCGAACAGCAGGCCCTGTTGCTTGAGTTTCTAATAAGCAATAACATATGCACAGATAGAAACTTTGAAATATTTATAGCCGATCCAGATAACCACAAGGAAGAAGCCACGAGCATTGTAGATAATCTGTACATGGTAGTTTATGCGGAGCAGCAAGCCCTGGCAAAATCTGACGGCGACGACGCAATTGCACCGGAAGTACCTGAGAGCGAAAACGCTCAAGCGCTGGAACCAGTTGAAGACTCGGCGACTAATGCACCGCCCATTGAGTCGCAAGTCAAATTGTTTCCCATTTTCACACAACGCCTGCAGCCGATGCAACAAAAGTCGTCGCGCCGCAAGTTGAATGTTTCGACACGTTTAATGGCTGCAGCCTCTGGTTTTAATCAGTATCAGATCGATGCTGGCCAAAAGGCCTTTGGAGCCCGGCAGTGTCAGCAGTGTGGATTAGTTTACACCGTCCATGAGCCCGAGGAGGAGCAGTTGCATCGAGAATATCATGATTCTGTACATGTGTTACGTTTTAAGGGTTGGATAGACGAGGACATTGTGGCCGTGCATCCGGACTGGGCTGCTGATGGGCGAATTATACGATTGAATGAACATGCACCAACTATACGCCTGCAGCGGCTCACAGAGGTGATCAGGGTGGTGGACAAGGAACTGGGTTACTCCTCGTACATTGTACCAAAAACGTTTGTCGCCTACTTTGCTGTGCGAAAGCAGCAGATTGTGGGCCTATGCCTTGTACAGCCGTTGACGCAGGCGCATCGCTTCATTCAGGTCGATGGAACCGACTACTTCAGCGAGGAGACATTTGAGGCTAGGTTTGTGGTTAATGCTACTTTTATCTACGTCTATTACCAAATTAATTTTATTTCCTCTGCAGCTGCGGTGTGTCTCGGATTTGGGTCTCACCACTGCAACGTCGTAGGGGAATTGCTAGCAAATTACTGCGCGCTGTGCAATCTCACACTATTTTGGGCATTGAAATATCCCGGGATCGCATTGCCTTTAGTACGCCGACAGACGAAGGACGTGCTCTGGCGCGTCAATTTACGCAAAATGAGAATTTTTTGACCTATGACCAATAAGAAACCAAGGAAGTTGGCTATTGAATAGCTGACAAGTGTACTTTGTTAAATAACTCTTGCTACAAATCCTTATTTTTTTTAGTTATTAAGCATAAAAGATTGTTTTAAACTGAGATTGTGTTACATTTAAAGATATACTCAATTACAGAATGCTGTTTCAAATCTATTGTATATACGTTTTACGCTAATGCACTTTAAAAGTGTAAATTTTGATTTTTAGGGAATTTGTTTTTCATTAAATCGTTAAATATTTAAGAGCTGAAACGTATTTCACGATCAATATATTTCGCGATATCTATCGATAGTTAATAGATTTCAATATCGATCACAGACAGCAATGTAACTTTAAAATCGATAGTTTAGGTAATGTGTGAGCCAGGCTTTGGGCGTTGTTTTTATTGCTGCAGTTAAGAAATTTATTAATTCTTAATTAGAAACGTATTTGCATTGCTCAAAAGTTGACTTAAAGTGTGTCAAGTCACAATTTCAGTTGCCATAAATTGAGCGCAAATGGTGAGTGCAAGAAATTAAATTAATTGTACCTAGCAAGTCAACGCGGCATCTTATGCCACGCCCAATGTGATTGAATTAAAGTAAAACTACAAGCACACTTTGGGGTTGAATGTAGCGTAGCAACGTTTCTTATTGCTTACAACCATTGCAGACAATACGGCGTTGTGTTAGTGTGCAGCAAGTAAAGCGTGTAGCTAATAGAGAAAAAGGCCAGTGACTGCATTGTCAACGGCATCTACAATTACAGCCATAAGTAAATAATGTCCACTATCGAAGACGAGCGTAAAGCGTACATTAATAATCCATATTTCACTGGACCCATCTACGGCAGCTACAAGCCGTTTTATGTGACGATTGCAATTTGCACAGTAATCCTTGGGTCAATAATTGTATTAAACATTATCTTGGGCTGCTGTTCCAAACACCGCAAGTACTGGCAGGACAGGCACACAGGCAATCGCTGGTTAGTTTCCATTTGGTCTTCAACGCCGCACAAGCAACCTCCCCTAGATTTCACTGAGCTTAAGGACGCATCCTACTTCGATCGTTTCCATGTAAGTGGTTAACTCGACATGCTAAAATTTCACAAAATGACACTTACCATTTGCAGCCTACTACACACCAGCAAGTGTTCCCTGACGACGTCGTCATAACCGTTGACGATTTAGAGCCCGTACACCAGTCGCATCATCAACGTCCACCACGTCCAGAAGGTCGTACATTGCATCAACAACGCCAGCGTGAAGAATACGTTGAGTTGCAAAAGCGTGAAAGCGACATCTAAGCCATGGCATTATACATTCTATATCCAGCCGTTGCTGCTCTGGCGCTCTTTGTTATAGGCGTCATCATTATCATGCTGCGCTATGGGCCGCGTCTATGCGGGCTACGTCATCATGCTCTGCCTGACAACCATGACTTGCGGGAGAAAACCTACGAGCATGAGATTAGTTATGCCTGATACTTTGCGCCATTTTCATAATTGTCTTTTAATATATTAATGCAGCACATTACCTTTTTTTATCCGTCCACTTAAACTAACCATATTTTTAAGTTGCTATTTTGACCATTACTAACTATTAGCGGCTGGAGTTGCACAGTTTTTTATACATGCAGTACAAAGTGCCTACTACTTTTAGTAAATAATATTTGTCAATCAGCTTTTATATCATTCCATATCGAAAAACAAATGTAATGTGCCTTCAACATTGAATCTCATTGATAAATGTTTGCCGTCCAAGTGTCTTTTAGTACAGTAAGATCGCTCCGTTAAAAACATATACACTTTTCGTAATTTATGTAAACAGAATGTTAATTAAATTTGTATACTGAATGTTCATTTATGAATGAAAATAATTTAAAACTATGCAAACTCTATACATTTGTATTTAAGCATTTATACGATTTGGACCCAGAAAACCACTTTTAATAAAGAATGATCAATTTTAATTCATAAAAAATATATGTGTTTGCTGCAAGATAAATTAAACAGATAGTAATAAGCACATAAGTGCATGTGCTTTGAGCGTTTAATAGCAATTATGATTGACAATGGCAGGAAAAATAATATATGCGCCTACTTGTAAGAGGTTAATAATCTCATTTTGTGTTCAGCAATGCAAATGGAAGATAGTACTTCGTACTTCTTTTCGATAGTTAGTAAATTGGATGTACCTGGTCCAGCACAAAAGTCATACGCTGTCATCGATGTAAACTTGATAGTTTTCAATAGACTGCGTATGTATTCGTCCTTTTTCTCCTGCTCTTTTTCATTGTTCATCTCTTTATCGCTTCTTTCTGTAGCCATTTGGTCTACAGCTACGTCTTTCCCCTTTTCCACATTGTTTTCATTTTCGTCTTTCTTGCTTGAATTAGTCTCTTTTCCTTGCTCTGGATCTACTTCTTTATGCATATCTTTTTGCGGCCTGGCTTCTGTCACAGGCTTTATTTTTTTTGACATCTGGGAATAATCAGAAAGTTCATCATCGTTATCACTTTCGATGAATGTATTGTCTGGGGATGGTTTTGCAGAACTTTCGACCAAACCATGTATACTGCAATAACGATCTATTACGCTGAAGCGAAGCTTATCGCCAACAATGCCGTCAAAGTCCTCGATAAATTTCAAAAAGATTTCCGAGCTTAGATCAAACACTGCAGCCGCGTTGATGTAAGCCTCCGCGTTCACGCGAAACTTCTACAAAATTAATCAATTTAATTGAGTTTGATATTGTTTATCTCAGTACCTACCAATCTAATGTTGGCGATCAGCTCTTCGTCTTCGATCTGGTGACCATACTCGTACAAATCAATTGTTACATCCGCCTCTAGGCCGCTGGCCAAACGGCGCTTGATCACGTTTAAACAGTTGTTGGTAAAAAAGGATACCATGAACTTTTTGCTTAGGTAAATCAACGTTTGCAGTGTCTGCAGATCATATGAATCCAGTCGGCGGTTATCGTGCCAGTACAAATATTCAATGAATTTTCTAAAATCATTGCCCGACACATCGTTCAGCACAATGTTGTCGGGAATCTTTGCCTCCTCGAAATCGCCCTCAAACATGCGTTCAAAAACAGGTGAAACACTATAGAATAGATATGTATGTATGTGATATGGTTTAGTTTAGAGCAAAATAATTTTGTACACACCTCATGAGCACAAATTTATGGCATTTTAACAGAATCTTATTGCCATCATTGTCATAGACGACGAAACTGCAATCCGACAAGTGGCCGGTCATCAGCAAATGTTCCATGCGTTCTCGGGGTCTAGAAAGGTAACAAATGCAGTTATTATTTCAATGAAGAGATTTCCAGTCGGGTAGTTATTAGGAGTATATCGGACATTGACTCGCCTCTTAAAGCACCGCATTCTGCAGCTGCAATTAATTGTACTTATTCTCTACCCCAATACAATAGTAAGGTATATGGTTTAAGGTTACTCAATTTTCCGAAATATTAAAGTTATTTTGTGGTTGCTCACCTGAGATCCTGCCAGTTTGTCGCCGTGTTCTGCATTTTAATAATCAAGTTAAAAAAAACAAACGCTGTTTGCACGGACAAAAGTGGCGGCGACAATGCAAATTTTTGTATTTAGTGTTGCAAAACGTTCAACGAAGAACTGCGAATTTGACAGGGTACGGTCACTTTGTTTTATCAGCTGTCTGCTGTTTTCTGTTGCCGTCGTTGAATTCAATATTAAATTAAGGAACCACCTGCTTTTAAAACAATGATTTTACTTGTTTACATTTGGATCGGTATCGGCCTACTGCCATTAACCCAATCAGAAATCACTGAGTGCCCTACGTACAGCGTACCACAGGTGCGAGCAGAAGTGGAGGGATCCGGCGAGATGTCTTTGATGTTTTACTACGTGTCTTGGTCGAGCGATGCCAGACAGGCACGTTTGGTATACGATGGCGTGGCCCATTACTACAAGGAGTACGCCTCCTTTGGCGCTATCGATTGTTGGCATTTACAGTGCAACTGCAGCCGCACTCATCGACAACTTCCCGGCATGGCTGTTAACGGCGGTTATCCCGATAAGTGGCCCACGCTAATGGTGAACTATGGGCAACAAGTGAGCCTGCAGTATCAGGGCGCATGGCATTTTGAGGACCTGACGAGATTCATGAACAATCTAATACAGCCCATCGATCGAGTGCACAGTACTGCAGAACTGGGCGCCCTATGGAGTATCTCGGATGCCGTTGTCCTGGCGGTGCTGGACTCTGCCGATGGCCCGACATATAGGCGTTTCGTGGCGACGGCAATACATTGGTTGGAATTCGATCCGGAGCGTAACGTACGCTTTGCGGTCGCTTTTGGCCGCCAAGCTAAGAAAATGCTTAGGGTGGAGGGGCTATCACTGCCGCAACTAGTAGTCATAGATAACCGGCATGGCTTGCATAGTTACAATAAATCGGATGTCTGGCAGCCCATGGAGATCTTGCATTGGGTGCGACCCAAGGTCAATCCTCTGCAAGCGGCTGGCTACGGTACACCTGCGAAGATTGCCATTAAGGCGCGTCACATGCCAGTGCTGGCCATGGCCATACGCATGCATCGGCAACAGTCGATATTTACGAGCGATGAGCTGTTGCGCAAGGAGAATGTTGACTGCGAGCAGTACTGGAAGCAAGAGCTGCAAGACGGCAGCGAGACACGTAAATGGGCTCTGTTGCAAAAGCCGCCAGAGCTGTATGAAGTCCCTAAGTCGCAGGAACAGATGGCTAAGAACTGCTATCGTGCATTTCAGCTCAACAGAGCCACTTTGGTTAATTACTACTACATCAATGGCTTCCTAAACTATTTATGGACCCAACACACTCACGAAAGCCACTCGGAAGCAGAGGCGCGACAGCTGTTAGCGCTTCGCACACGTAATCGCTGCTTGGCGCACACCCATGCGCAGCAGGGCACGCCGGCAGGAAAGATTGGCATAGCGAAGCTGGTCGCTAAATATGGCCAGCTGATGTGGCTGCACTCAGCAGAGCAGCAGGTACAGAATAGCTCATTGGCCGTAGTGCTCTTCGATGGAAACAAATACCGCGACTTTCTGCGCCAGCTTGGCATTGATCAGTTCCAACTCAATCTTAAAAGAGATGCGTCCACAGTGCAGGTATTCATTGTGGATGCAGCCGAAGAAGCACTACACGTCATGCCGCAGCATCAGACGTTCTCCTATCAGGCACTGAAGGAGTTCATGAAACTGTTTTATGCCAGACAGCTGCCGCGCGTGCAAAGGAACTCTATGCCAACTACTGCCCCATCCCAGGATGCATCGTATATACAGGTATACAATCGCCAGTTATTGCTGCAGGCACTGCAACACTCGAATGCAACCAATGTCGTGCTCATCCAGCGACCGGATTGTGCACTCTCGGCCGTCATGTCACTGGAGCTGATGCAAGTGGCAGCTATGCTGCGCAGTCCCGAACTGAATTTTATTCGCTTCGATAGCCAGGCAAACGATTTGCCATGGGAGCTCACTATGCCGGCGTCACCAGCGCTGCTCGTGTTTCCACAATCTCGACCCACAGAATCTGTGGTGTTTCCGATGGATATTCGCGTGGACACGGCCAATATAATGTCCTTCATATTGGCACAGTTGGAACCAGAGCAGCAGTTGCGCTTAGTTTTGGCCAGCTGCCGGCGGCGAATGAGGCATGCGCGCAGTTGCTTGGACTTTGCCGGGAAACTGGTGCTCCAGCACATCAGCCAATATTTGAAATACTGGGAGATATTTGTGAAAGAGCGTGATCAGATCTTGTCACATCTCAAGCAGTTCAATGAGATGCACATTGCCATTGAAAGTAGTATAAAGTTATAGTTTATAAATGTATCTCAGTGTGCTAGAATCTTACTAAAAATTGACCGTTAAACTAGTTAGCATAAAAGTATTGGGTAAGATTTTAGCGGGAGGGAGCTCACTTATCTGATATGTTAAGCCTAAAATAAGTTTAACTCAATACTGTTATCATTAAGTCTAGTATAAGCAATTAGTAAATCATCAAAAAGATTTAAGACTGATTGATGTTTTTGTCCCACGATCAAAATGCAGTATTTTTCAAAATGAGTAAACATTTAAAATGCACAATGCTGTGTGCCCAGCTGTTTTTAGATCAAAAATACTTTTACTGCAACTATCGATATTTGTCTTGAGTGTGTTTGTAGTAAGTGCAGCAAGCAGTTGCTTAAAATGTCACGATATTCAGATTCCCGAATTAATATTATAGATCAAAGTACATATCAAATTCTAAAAAGGGATAATAGGAACTCAACGCCAAAGGTACTACGCAGTGCCAAGTACAAAAATAAGCACAAAAGGGAGCAACAGTGCACTCTTTTGGACTTCCTCGTTGTGCCCCGCCAAAAACAGAAACAAATAAACAAACAGAGACGCCCAAACATCATAGCAAGAAAGTGCGTGGCGCTTCAAACCAAGCGCAAGGGAAAGTCGCGATTGCATCCTAAACGACGTGTAGCGCGCCTGAAGCGCATTATCAGAAAGTATCGAACCTGGAAGCAGCATAGGGACGAGGACAAAAACGATGTGGAACCACTGCAGCAGGCATTCGAACCATTGTCTGTTGGTCATGAATCCACAAGCGAAAATACCCTGCAGGCTCCGCTGTCCGTTAAGCTCCAGAAGTTGACCTTAGGCGAGACGGAGAAGCGGAGTACGGTGGAAGTGGAAAGCTGTCTTTCAGCTCCAATGCCATTAATGGAAATTCAGCGCCTAACCTTGAACAACGTGGAACCAAACACATTAGAAGTAATCACAAATTTAAAGTGTTTGTCTCTAAATGATGCCGTGTCAGGCCAACCAGCACCGTCAACTCATCAAATACATTCCCGGCGATTTAGAAGGTGCGCATCTATAAAGTTATCTTGTTCCCTATGCTCATCAAATATCTGATACACAGCTATTGTGATAATTGTACGACGCCCCGCCTCAAAGATTTGACGACTCAATTGCTTAATGACTTGGAACGCTTCCAGAAGCGTGCCTACGCCCACAATGAGATTAAAGCGCGTGCACATCCGCGACTTGTGGTGGGTTTTCGGGAGTCATTGTCCAGGCTGCGCATAAACAAAGTTAAACTGCTTATCCTGGCTCCTGACTGTGAAATGTGTCCTGCGCCAGGTAAACGTCATTTACTGCACCAAAAATTCTAATCCTATTTTACATTTCCCCATGTTTAGGCGGTCTGGACGACACGATCGACGAGCTGAAGTTAGTCTGCCAGCAACAAAGGGTGCCGTATTGCTTCTCGCTAATGCGCCGGGAATTGGCCTATGCGCTACGCAAGCGTGCACAAATCTCGTGTGTGGCCGTTTTGGACTATGATGGTGCCAATGAAACGTATAAGCAACTGCTGCAGGAGCTGGATGTGGCGAGCTATCAGTATAAATGCTTGACTGCAACGTGATCTTTAATGCTTCAAGGATTCAAATATTTAAGTGCCAAAAGGGGTGCCTACAGATATGTAAATAAACTAAGTCAAGCCAAATGTATGCATAAATGAGATTCAATAATTTGAGGGTGTCATCATTGTGGTGGTCACCAGATCGTAAAGTGTCGAGCTCTCGTTCCCAAATTCGGTGGCAGCGCCCACTAATCCCGCCGTGTCATTGAAACTATTAAAGGATTGTATAGCTTCCTTAGCCTGCTGTGCCGCCAAGTTAAATTGTATGAGTATAATAAGGTAGCTAGTAATACCACCGCTGACACCATACAACGTTTCCATGTCCAGCGTGAAGAAGCCGCAGGCTGAGAAGTCCACCGAATGATTAAGCAACTTCAGCGACAAGTGATTCACAATCTCGTAGAGTAAATTGTCATCAGCCACGACGCCGCACTTATGTAAACTAATACCAGTGCGCTTGGAGGCCAACGAGGTTTTCCAGCTTAAATAAATCAGATAAATGCACTTGCCAGATGTGTAGACCAGGACGATAACCGTGATAAAGGGATTTTTTGCAGAGCGAAACAACGAAGGTATCGATTGCGCCCGTGTGGCACAGTATAGAAAATACAGCTGAGCCGTAAATATCAAGAAACCATAGGCCATAAGCGAAAGAATCGGATAGCTCCATAGCCCATTCATTGCCTTGCCTATCTCGCAGATCTCGTCGTGCACTTGGCACAGATTGTTCAGCTTCTCCTCGACTTTAGTCGCATTGCTTAATTCGCTTTCATGCGCCATGTTCATCATTGGATTTGGATTGGGCTGGTGCGGCTTGCGAGGCGTTTGAATCGATTCCCCAAAAGAGTTTAGCGAGTGGGCAACTAATTACATCAAATATTATTGAGATTATAGGACAAACTTAAACGTATACTTACTTGGTGCGACCTTGTTTTTGTTCTTGCTACCTGATCCTCTCAGTGATCCCATATCAATACCACCCAGCTCCTTGTACAAATACTCCAGATTACTGTCATATTGTGGAGGCTGCGTTTCAGAACTGTCTGCCGTACGAAGCTCAGCGGCATCGTTACCATCATCTGCAGTTAACCAAGACTGAAACTTTTCGTGCTCGGCCACAAGATCCTCCAACGTGGCATTTATGGCCTCAAAGCGTTCTTTGAGCGCATATAGCGAAACTGCAAACCAAATCTTATCCAGAGTATTGATGAAAGTAGGAATTGCCGAGACCATCCATAGAAGTGACAACCACTGCGTATAATCCACCAGCTCTATGTATGTGGTCAGCAAAATGAAAAGCTCGAAAATAATCGTCATAAGTAGCATTATACGAATGCGTTTTGCTATACAGCTGTTGTCGATCAGGCACTGTTCACGGTATAGCCGTTCATCCACTACGCGAATGCGTTCGTAGAGTTCCCCTAGTCGTCTTTGATTAAAGAGCGCCGTGACCTGATCCGTGGCCATCATAATAAGGCCAATGTAGGTCAAAAATAAGCCAATAACAAATGTCAAGGTACCTGAAACAAAGGTCCCATTAGCAATAGAAAGCCAACAGTAATTGAATAGATAAATATCTAAGTAGAGCACACATAAAACTCACTCTGTGTTGCCTTGAGTGTGCGATCCTCTTCGCTAAACGAATAAATCAACAAATTATAGAGCACCACATACAAGACCAACATGCCGAGCATATAGATCATGCCATTGCGCGACTTTTCCAGAACATTTTTATGACGAAACTTGGTCAGGTCCTGCGGCAAAACACCTACCACCTTTGATAGGAAAAACAGCTGCTGGAATTGCAGCAACAATGGCTGCACCATTGGTGTCACCTGGGACATGCTGTACGTCGGCCAGAACAAACTCAAATGGTATATAATAAGCCAGCCAAGCATTTGGAGCTGGTTACCACTTTAACTAATTAAATTGGTTTGTTTGCTGATTAAATTGTTTTCCTAATCGATATAATCAACGCAAGCAATCTGAATACGTGTGTAAATGGTTGTACAATCCTTTCGCTTAATGGCTGAGTTTATATTAAGGGTGAATATAAGTTTATTAAATCATCTTCAATTGTGTATGTATGTATCTGTACACAACAAATTTTAAAATGCAAACCCGAAATAAATATTACACATGTGCACATAAAAAGTACCTTTCCGAGGTATGAGCTATATATAAGTATTTTACAATAGTGTATGGCAATACGATTTGTTTGTGTAGTCGATTGAATGAATTGAATTTTATTAGATGGTATTTAGGTCGGGATTTGCATGGTTTTCATGTGTACCAAATGTTGTAATTTTTGTACATTCCTTGTTTTAAGTGTGAGTTTTAATATAAAGCCAAAATATTAACACGGCTGTTCTTTTGAAATTTAAAATAGTGCCCAACATAATTAATTTGTATTGAGAGAAGGACGTCCTCCTTATTGCTTACGCTTGCGACGATCATTCTGTTTTTGCTCCTCCTGAAAGTTAGACGAAATATTACAAAATGTTAATGGCTGTTTCCAAGGTTATAAATATAGTTTCACAAATAGCGAACTTAATATGAGCATATCGTTTTCAATAAATTTTTCGTAAACCTGGAAATGAATATACTTCCAACAAAAAAACAAGAAGAGAAAGTCCCGTCTCGGAAGAGTATAGTTTAATAATGATTGTTGTCTAATTGAAGACTTTTGTGAAAGTATACTTATTGCCTTGTATATACGAAAAATAGGTATACGTTTAAAACGGCATACCGTTACGATTAAATGTTCATTAAAGATATTGATTGCTATAAGTGGTCAGTTCAAGGTTATTCATTGTTTGCTTGATTTGCGAACTATCATACCATAAAGCTCTTGAGCTGTAAGATAGGGCACAACATTGAGCACAAATCAAGAATACTAGCGCAGCCACAACTGATTACAACTAAATTGGGTTTTATGAACACACCTTTTGGGTCAAAATAATCAACAAACGGCGGAACATGCTCAAAACATCAAAGAAAAGGTCTAATGCATGTTGGACCACATCGCGGTTGCCCATGCGACACTTATCCACAATATTTTGGGTGTCGTACACTATGAAGGCGGCCATAACAAAGACGCCAACGTACAATTGAGTCTAAAAGCAGAAAGGGTTAGCTAGAGAATAATTGTTATGCTTGTGGTTACTTACAATTTGGACAAAGTACGATTTAAAGATCATGTTGAAGAGACTGAGCAAAGCCATGCAGTTTATAACGCTAACCAACATGCCGCCCAGATACAAATACTTGCCCTGTTCGGCAAGCAAAGCGGCGAGCGACAATGAACCAAAGGTGACAAAGGTCCCGGTGAGTGCAGTTAGTATAATTGCCGGATTGATGCTGCATATGTAGTCCAATAGGGGACCCAGTGTTTGTCCCGAACAAAAGCCAAAGGCATATAGCATTCCCAAGCGTGTGTAATAGTTCTTGCCATCGTCCTTATAAAAGTGCAGACCCAGGACCAGTACCAGTGAAGCAATAGCCGCTAGTATACCCAAATCAATAGTTCCACGCATCTGAAGTAAGGCTCCTATTGCCGAAGCAGCGGTGGTGCTAGCCAGCACCATATACACCTTGGAGAGGTGCTGACGGATGAAGGGTTCACTGCAAAGGTATAAGGAAGTGGTATTAGTCAACTTTGTGCGTGTACGTGTACATTGTTTTCAAGGACTATTGATTTAGTGCGACCTGTTGATGTGGTCTAATACCAAAACAACACGTCATCCTAACCGTGACGCAAGGCGAGCGCCAATTACGCTAGCCAGGTAGCTTTTATTAATTAAAGCATTCTACACGGACTTTTGTACCGGGCAATCGCAATTGGTTCGCCTGCACCCGTGACCCAAAGTTTATATGAATACTCACTAGCGCTCGCCGATGCCGTTCATAAAACGTTGGAAACGGTCGTGAATAAACTGTGCTGTATCCGCCATTCTGTATCCTTGCTTTCCACTTGACGACTAGCTTTTATACTTTTTCTATTTAATCGAACGGAGGAGTTATAAATGTGAACTGAAACTGTGCAGGCTTGATAATCAGATTGACTGATTTTTACGTCGTATACTACGTTGATCTTTTCGTTTCTGTATTTCACTTGTCTTTATGTATATTGCACTTTAGTGTTGACTAACGTCACATCGAGCGAAGCTTCCAGATGATAGGGTAACCATTTCTTATGCAGAAAAACTTATGGGCACTCTTTATTAAAACAACATTGCCATACTTATCGGCGCGATTTTTTCAAAAAACCAATCAAGAAAATGAAATTCTAACAATCCGATTTAGAGGATCATTATTGTTGCTATAGTTGCAAAATAACCGAACGAATCGCTTAATTTGTTTAGAGAAAAATATATTTATGAAAGCTTTTCTTACCGATTTTAACTAATAACGAAACCCATTTACTTAATTATGGATGTAAATTTTATTTCGGGTCATTTGCTTTAGAAAGCTTGTTCTAACAGCAGTTCAATCGAATAAGAATTGTGCGTATATTTTTTAAATAAAAATCGAAAACATAAATTAAAGTAATGACGATTTGTTTTAAATATGAGTGACATAAATATGATTTGAAATCTTATTTGTTTAAAGAAAATAAGACGCGCACTTAAAAACTATATATATGTATATATACATATGTAAAACATTACCTGTTTTTTGCATGATTTACAATAAATATGTATATTCAAATACTCTCAAAATCACAGTTTAAATTTGTACAAGACAGATTTTGTTTGTTTATAAGTAGTAGCCGGCCGTTTTGGTCGTAATACTTCGTGTTAGATCAGACCTAGGAAAGTTACAGGTACTAGTAGTTGTCGAAAACTATAATTTACACAAATATCATATGGATTAGTGTTGCAGGTTTTAAGTTAAATATCATTTACAAATGTTTGTGTACATTGTACAAATAAAAATAAAGGTAAAATAATAAAAATAAAAACGAAGATGTTACATAGCAACTACATTATTGCTTGATCGCGTTTAAAAATTCTACAATAAATGCTGTTAAGACCTCGATTATTTTATGATTAGAGATATTTAGTCTAATTATCATCACGCAAGAACTCATTCATACCACTTATTTACATAATATTGATTAATATTGTCAATCTAGCTCTATTCTACTTATCCATATAATAAGGGCAGTCAACATTTAAAGTTATGATCACTCGCAGCCACGCGCACAATAAGCTCGCTTAAATGTACACAAATAAAGTCAATTTTAAAAAAATGCTTGAAACAAGATTTACAAAAAAAGAATATCATTGAATACAATTGCGCTTATTACGATTCATGGCCTCATTTGGCAAAAACTTTGCAACTTGCAAAAAGATGCATGTGTTAATATAACAATATTATTAAGAATAAATGCGTTGTAGTTGTACAATTTAAATATATGTATATCAATTCGTAAACTATGTTTTTGTTTTTATAGGGTACAAGAAGACACACAACGCAAGACAGTTTAAGTATTTTTTTTTTGAACATTTTTTTAGTTTTCATATATATATATGTTTTATTAAATAAACCGAAATATTAAAGTACAATAATATTGAAATTCTGCGGTGTAGACGACGGTGATGTTGATTGAAGTTCATTCTATCTGTAGCTGCTGTCCAACCGCGTCTTCTTCCGCGATGACGGCCTCAATGGGGGATGTGTGCAGATGCAGTATTATTCCGTTAGAGTGTAGATTTGTGTGGGCGTGGCAGTCCGTCGTTCAATTGTGTATTGTTGTTGTAGAGGCTTGTCAACATTTCGGCTTACTTTAGTACGTCTAGGAGAAACTATTGTATGCCATATTCATATCCTACGTATTGGTAATGTTAGATACAAATCAAAATTTCATAATCTTGTTTCTGGCCTTCAGCTTGCTGCATCATTATTATGTGTTAATAAGAGTGTCTAGGAGGTGTATGTGTTTGGGTGTGTATTTCTTGTTATTAATTATGCTTTCGCTTGTATAGCGGTCAATGCCTGGATCGATGCTCTTCACGCCTGTCCCGATCACGTTCACGCTCTCGCTCACGGTCACGATCTCGGTCACGACGCTCACGATCCGAAGAGCGATAACGTTCGCGTTCCTCGTAATAGCGTTTAGATGACGGCGCCTCGGCGGCTTCTGCAACAACCGGCTCAGGAGATTTACGTGGACGTGCGGAGCGGCTGCTGCTACATCACAGAGTGAAAATTCTTATTAGTAAAGGTTGGCTATTTAGTTAAGAATTTGTGACTACCTGTCATCCCTGTAGTGGTCTTGTGCCTGACGTTCGCGTTCACGACTGCGCGAACGCTCTCGATAGCTACTTGGGGTATATAAAAATTATGGATTAATCAAGATTATTCCAACAATAGTACGCACTATTAAATTCTTACCCTCCATCACGCTCACGCTCGCGATCACGATCACGCTCTCTCTCACGAGAACGCTCTCTATAGCGTGAAGTTGATCGCTCACGACGCTGCCTACTGCGATGAGAACGATCTCGTGAACGCGAACGCTCGCGACGATTGTAGCTCTTGGCCTCGATGCCGTGCAGCGTATCCTGCAGTGAGCTGATCAAAATCTTACAGCGCTCATCATGGGCCACTTTGGATTGCTTGATAAGGGAAATAGCCGTAACCAGCGTCTCGATGGCGCTTGAATACTCGCCAGCTGCAGCATCCGAAACAGCTCTGTGGTAGTGGCAATTATACAATTAGTAAATTAATCTGATTTAGGGAATGTGTGAGCTCACCTGGCAATTGCCGAGCTGCTAACCGTGCGATTTCTGCTCATGACTTCCTCGAACTCAACCTCCGTTAACTGCGGTCCCATTTGGGGGTCGGGGAAAGCTCCTGGCGGCTTGCCTTGTGGGGGTCCTGGCCAAGGATTGCGTGGTCCACCCTGCTGTGCAAAATGAGGCGGCGGTCCGTGCTGAGGCGGCATGTTCATGCCCGGCTGTGGTCCCGGCTGACCATGTGGTGGCCCACCCATTCCTGGATGCGGCGGTGGGCCGCCCGGTTGATTAAAGAATGCTGGATTTACGTGCGGAGCAGGAGCGCCATGTGGTCCACCTGAACCAGGCGGTGGACCAGGACCCATTTGCGGACGTGGTGGGCCCTGCATATGAGGTGGACCCTGCGGGGGACCTTGCGGCGGAAAGCCGCCATGCATAGGCGGACGACGCCAGTCAGGACCCGGCCCCGGACCACGCACTGGCATGCCCATTGGACCCTGGAACTGCAAAAACAAAGCACGAAACAAAGAGTTTAGTGACTGACTTGAATGGTATCGAAGGGTTAGAAAATCAACTAGGCCAGTTGCAGGTGTGTGGCAGCCTCATCATGGATGTGCATGAGATTTGTGTCTGTGGATATGTATGTATTGTGGCTGTTGCAGTTACAAACATGTGCAGTTATTTAAATGTTCTGAATACAATTGATGAGACATTCTAATGTCCTTCACTAAGTTAACTTAACTTGGGTTAGTTTGGTTTCATTTTTCTACTATAGTATAATTAGATATTTTTAAAATATTTTAAAATATAGGATTTCTTTGATTTTTTTTTTTGTTAGGAATTTGTTACCATTGGTGGTCGTTGGAGTGGTCCATTTGGTGGACCCGGTCGGGGCCCACCGGGACGTTGACCTGGCCATTGACCTTGCGCCGGCGGATACCTGGGAGGCGGTTGTTGGTTGCCCATCGGGCCGCCTTGTTGATGCATTGGCGGCTAATAATTTACGTATTTTATTATTGTAGATGTTGTTGTTGTTGTTGTGGGTAGAAGTGTGCGTAAGCGTTGTCATAAAACACATGGAATGGAATATAAATATAAAGCGTAATACATAAACATTTTTATATATATATAGTACATAGATATTAAGTACATATAGATCGCAAACAAATGCAGCACAATTACAAAATCATAAATATTGCCTTAATATAGATACCATTAGATTTACTCAAAGTATTTCAAAATCTCAACAAATTGCAATTAAAGCTTGCATTAAATTACATGTAAAACAACTGGTAATGTATAGGCTTATGGATAAAGGATTGATACAAATATAAAATGTCTTAAAACTCAAAAAATTCTATAAAAATTGCTCTGAAATTATTTTATTTAAACCAAAACAAGTATTGTACTTAAAATCATAAACAACAATAGCCTTACAGTCGAATCTTTGCATGTCTAGTTACTCTTAAGTTATCACAGTTATAAACAAAATCAAATTGATGTTCAAAGGTGTAAAGAATGTTTCACCTTGGGGTTAGTCAAGTTTCAGAAATTTACTGAGATTTTTTTTCGACTATAAACATGTTTTAAAAATACATTTTAATAAATATTTAATATATAGGTCCTGCTTGGACTTATATTACTTTCTTGTATCATTTTATAAGGAACATGGTATGATTTTAATGATTACTTCAAAAAAATTCCACTTATCTATGTTATATTTAGTTTAGCAATCTTTAATGAAGTATATACGCGATCAAATATTCGACTTTTGTGATATTAAATTTTGCATTCAGAACAATTTCAATGAGTAAAAGTTAAAAAAATATATGTTAATGGCGTTGTTAATACCGGCTGACGAGCCAAACATTCCCAAACAAACTCAAGAACTTTATGATATGCTCACTTGCTAACGGGCAATTGCAAAACAAAGCTACGACTTAAGGCCAAAAAAAGTGAAATGGGGGAAAAACAAATATAAAAATGAGAAACTCACCTGCATGCGTGGAGGTCCAGAGTTTGGTCCAACCTGCGGCACTTGCGACATATGAGGCCGGTATTGACCCGGTGGCATGTTGGGATTCATGCGTGGCGCATGGCCAGGCGGTACACCTTGAGGCACTCCCGGATGTGGCGGCATGGGTCCGCCCATATTGGGTGGTGCAGGGCCACGTGGTGGGCCATTTTGCTGCGGTGGCGGCACCGGACGTGTTTTTTGAAGGCTCTCGAATTGCGTAAGGGCCTGCTTGCTTGGATAGGTGACTACTACGGTCTGGCCGTGCATCTCTTTTTTGGGCAATTGATCGAGTACAGTGCGCAGGCTAGGTTCCGAACCGAGAGAAATAACGCTGAAACCCTTCGACTGCCCATTTGCGCGATTCTCAAAAAATTTCACCTCCTGTAAATCGTTGACACCAATCTCGCGTAAGGCATTGGAGATGTCCTGATCGGTGGTCCACCAGGTCAGGTTACCCACATATAGTTGATAGCGACGGTTCATTGTTGGAGTTTGGCTACCACTGCCCTGATGGTAAACTCCATTTGGACCGACACTAGAAGAACCATCGATGGATCCGGGTCCGGAAGCATTATCGCCCGTAGGGGTGCCACCACCGCCGCCGCCGCCCGCAGCTGCTGGCTCGGTGGGGCCGCCGATGTCATCGTATAAATCAACGCCGTCGCCACCAAATTCATCCTAATGCAAAATGTGAGTATGTTGAATACATCAATATAGATGTATGTATGTTCGTAAATACATATATATATTTGTGAAAATATCAACAATGTTATTTAATATACCCTCTTCATAAATACATATAAATGCGCGCACACAAGCACACACACATTTGCATATGCAAAGCGTGGTGATGCTTACTAACCTGAGCTTGTCCGGCAAAATCCTTGTCCAGATCTTCGGCATACAAGTCCAGCACCACGCCGTCTGCCATGGTTGCGTGAGTGTTAACTGGACAAAAATTGATTTTAAACGCACGCGACCAACTTATTAAGCGGTGCCGTGCACACTTTTTCCACTTTCACACACACACACACAATCAAAAGCCGCTCGTACAGTTGAACAAGCAGCCACCGGCGTGCGGCCTACGTACAAATGCAAGTAAAGCCCGTAGTTGACAAGTAACTATTTATTTTGTTGTTACGAATATGCGATATTCACATATATTATATTTACATTATAAACAACACAGCTTTTTCGACTATTGTTGCGAAAAATTTTCTGCAGCTACAGCTAAAATGGCGGAGATGTTCAGAGTGACCGTTCATGAAAATTCCGAAAAATGCCAAAGAAATTCATATTTAGCACATTTGGATATTATACAGCACTATAGTGTCGTACAGTCAGTATTAACACGACAGTTTTTTTCAAAACGCTTAACGGCTATTTGAAACAACCACAAATGAGGAACATCCGCAACAAATTTGGTTCAAAGGCATTTTTTTTATGATTATAAATATTTGGTATTAATTAAGTAAATGGTTGTTTTAAGGATTGTAAGTCTTCTTGGGCCGGAGATCGCAATATGTTATTCCTGGTCCTATGCATGCAGCAAAACCCATTAGATGAGGCAATGTGCTTTGTTCGTAAACGCCGCTGAACAAATGCGCCCAAGGACCTAAAAAAACAGTTATGTTAATGAACTAAGATTTGTATAAGGCTTCTCTATTACCATTAGCATATACAGCAACGTCACCACCCCCGTGAGTTTCCTCAGCCATGGGTACGCCATGTGGGTACCTTTCGTTCCTATCACCAATGTTCAGCGTGCGGAGATCAACGCGTTCAACTGTGCCATTAAACGATTTGTAGAACCTTTGGTAGTCCGGGCCGTTGGCGTAAGATAAAGTGGCGTACGGCAAATTGTCTACATCGCTTAATTCGGAGTTAAGACCGGTAATGCTGTTGTTTATATCGGGGTAGCCGTTAATGGTCATAGTATGTCCATGATCGGCGCTTACAACAATCAGAGTTTCCCATGGATTGGTCAATTGACGAGCTTTCCTAACAGCATTTGAGAATTGCACGGTTTCGTCAACGGCCTTCTTAGCCTTGGTCTCGTGGTGGGCATGATCGATGCGACCGCCTTCGACAAATAGAAAGTACCCAGCTGGATCCCCCGACAGCACTCCAATTGCAGCTTCAGTCATCTCTTCGAGCGTCGGAGTATCTATGCTATCATCCAAATGATAAGACAGATGTGAGGCATTGAATAGACCCAATAAGAAGTCCGTATCGTAGGGATTGTTGCTTAGCAGATCCTTGCGGTTAAAGACAACCCGTGCATTGCCAGTTTTGCTTTGTTGCCATTCATTTATTAGATTGCGTCCATCCAAACGCTCGCCCACGTTGCCATACACATCTTTCATTGTATTGGGTAGAAATTTCTTGGTGCCTCCACCCAATACAACCCTCAAGCCTTGACCCACTTCATCCAACAGCTGCTGCGCAATGTCAGGGCAGTTGCTGGGATTTTGGCCCAGATCGCGAACATCGTAATCGCTTTCAAAGTCGCGATTCGAGGTGTGTGCATAAACTCCGGCCGGACTGGCGTGGGTAACGCGAGTTGTCGTCACCAGGCCGGCAGACTTACGTCCGCGCAGCGCCCAGGCCGCGATGGAGGAAAGGCGATTTTGGGGCAATTTCGCTCCGGCACAGTCATTATGCTGTACATCGGCTGAGACGCCGATCGTCTGATAATTGGCCTTTACGCCGGACAGATAGGCAGAGGCGGTGCAGGCCGAGTCGGCAACTTGTTTGTTGACGCAGTATGTCTGAAGGAAATAAAGATGGGGAATGAATTACTGATAACTTGCTCTGCAGGCTTTACGGTTACTTTTGATAGTCCCACGTAGTCGAACTTTTCAAATTCCAGACGATTCCGCTCGCCTATAACGCCCTTCTGCTGTCCATCGTATATGCGCCCGGCCGTTACAGTCGGCACGGACATGCCGTCGCCCAGGAAGAAGATTATATTCTTGGCCAAATACTGGTTTGGTAGCGTGGCCAGCTTATCGTAGAGCGTGCGTTGGGCATCGTGGAACCAGAAGTCCTTGCTCTTAAGATCATTCGTAGAGCGAACATTCCATGTGGGATCTGCAAAAGCAGCACATCAAGATGCGAGAAACGAAGTTGAGCGAAAGTTCTAATTTTTTGTTTATTATTTATAATATATATAAATTTATTAAATTTCACATTTGCACATCTGTTTTGATTATCACTCGATTGGGCAAATATTTGTATTTCGTTTGTATTGTTTTTGAATTCTGTTGTCGATCTTGTTGTTCGCACTCTCACTGTTTAGACTTTTAATATATGTGGCACACCGTTAAATGTCACGCACCTGGCCCATAAATGTACTGACAATAGCAGAAAGCAACTTGAATGGAGAGCGTTAACCAGAAAGCACGCATTGTCGCAGCGGCAAAACGAATTTTGATGAACTCTAAATGAATAACTTTCGACTGCGGGCAGCGCCAGTAGACTCCGGCGGTGCTCGAGAACTGATTAAGCGCCGTTGAAGGGAATACGTGCTTATTTATATAAGTTCAGAAGATTGAAAAATTGTATTAATGGAAAAGACGAACGGTAGATTAAAACTCGCTCTGGCTTTAAATACCGGTCTCATTAGGTAACCTTAATGCATCGCTTTCAAATACTTACATACTACATATCAAATAAATATGTATACGCTCCATTTAGATGTGTTTAATTGATCAAGCAGCTTTTGTAAATCGTTGGCTACAACTTCTCCGGTCTACAAACAAATGATTTAAACTTATTTTTAAAAATATATACTAAGTATTTCTAGTTTTTTTTAGGCTAATTAATTTACTGCATATTTACATTTAGATAACTTTACTATCTCTAGGTGGAAAACTTATGGAAATACCATGAAGTAATTCCCCGCACATAGGTTCGATAAAAATAATTTAGACTTGTTAAAATGTAATATATAACTTTTGATTATTAATAACATAGTATAAATCAAGCCTGTTTTCGCTCAGATTAATTGCTATTAGATTGTTAAAATTCCGATTTTAACGAATGGACGTTAAATTTTGGGGGCAGGGAACCCTAATGCCATTTTGAGCAGTATTTTATTAGTTTGGTTTGTTGAACTAAAACGATACTCATGAGGTGATAAAAACTTGTACATTTGAAAATTGAATGTCAGCGCAAAGACCGTAGACAAAATTGGCGAAAGGGTCATACGGCAGCAAGGCGAAACAAGTCAATTTTACCTTTAGCTTATTACGTTCACTCTCGTTACCAATAATACCCTGCACACATAGAAATTAGTTAAGAGGAATATTGACTAAATTTGTTGTGAGTAGCTCAGATTATGATATACGTTTCCCCAAATTATATTTAACTTTTTTTGGGGATTTAACTACTTATCGAGGGGCTGCCCAATGCACTTCAAACGCACTAACCGTTTATACTTTATGCTTGCTTAATTTGTATTCATTTGCATTTGAATTTAATATTTTTTTTTATTTTACGCTATCTAACACTGATATTTGTTGACCGTCGATATATCGATACGACCGTATCAGCTCTAAATATCTTGTGAACGGTCACACTAGTGAATACCCTTTCGATAGTTAAAAATATCGATTTGGTTTGTGCATCGAAATATTTAGCCATCCCTATAAATTCACAAATTTCTTTGCAAAATTTCATGTTATATTTTGAGAAAATTGGTCGTATGAGTAAATTAATATATTTAATTGACATGCGCTAGAGAGCGTTTTGTTTGCAAAGGTTGCTGCATAGAACACAAAGGGCAAACCAGGTGAGCGGTGTGATGACATTTGTATTCGCGATAAGTACAACAAAGACTACTCATGTCCCCTTCGACGAGCAAAAACAGAAAACAACACACATACACACAGACACACAAACTCGCATACAGGTGTATTTCGCTGAAACGCATATAATGATATAAGTTGAAAAGCCCAATGCTGCACAGTTATTATTAATTACAAAAAAATATATTAGGAATTTGCAGCATTGCAACAATAACAACTGGTTCTTGCCAAATTGAAAAATATATCATCAAGGTGTCTGCCTACGAAAGCATGGATTTGCAGCATATGGAGAATGGCCTCAACGGAGGTGGCGTTGCTGGAGGAGGTGGAGGGGGCGGTGGCCTCAGTGAGATTGACTTTCAGCGATTGGCGCAAATAATCGCGACAAGCATACAAAAAGTCCAACAAAATGGTAAGTATTACTTTAGGGCGTGTTCCCATTTCTAACCTATGACTAATCGCTGTGCTCACTCTACTATCGCTGCGCAGTGTCCACTATGCAGCGAATGGTCAATCAGCTGAACACGCCACAGGATTCGCCCGAATTGAAAAAGAAACTGTAAGTGCTCGTGCGAGTCTTGCTTGAGCTATCAAATAGAAAAAGCTAACGTAAATTTGTAAAAACTGATTGAAAAATGTACTCTATACACAGTCATCAGTTAATGACCTATACCAAGCAACTGGTAACCGATACCAACAATCAGTTGAAGGAGGTGGACAAGTGCAAGGAGCGGCACCTGAAGATACAGCGCGATCGTCTGGTGGATGAATTCACAGCGGCATTGACCGCCTTTCAGGTATAATAAATGTCTTTTGCAAAAAGGATAGCAAAAAAATTAGTGATTATTGTATTTAATTTACAGGCTATTCAACGTAAAACAGCTGATATTGAAAGGAGCGCATTGCATCAGGCGCGGGCCCATAACTATAGCATTGCACATCCGCCTGGGTCGACGCGTACCAGCACCAATAGCAGTAGCAATGACAATGGTTCCTTCTTTGAGGACAACTTTTTCAATCGAAAATCAAATCAGCAGCAACAGCAGCAAATGCAAACGCAAATGCAGGAGGACGGGGATCTGCAAGCACTTGAGGAACAGGAGCGCGCCATACGCGAATTGGAAAACAACATAGTCGGCGTCAATGAAATCTACAAGAATCTTGGTGCTATGGTCTACGAACAAGGCTTGACTGTCGATTCAATCGAGTCACAAGTGGAGCAAACAAGCATTTTTGTCTCACAGGGCACTGATAATTTGCGCAAGGCCAGCTCTTACAAGGTAAATAGCAACTGCCTATAGTATGCTATATACATTTTTTACTTAATTGTGTTTATCTATTATAGAACAAAGTGCGAAAGAAGAAGCTGATACTGGTTGCAATACTGACCGCTGTGCTTTTGGCCATCATTTTGATACTGGTGTTTCAGTTCAAGAACTAAAAATTGGGAACGATTAAACTAGAAAGCATCCACAAATTTAAATAAAAACTAGTAAATTGTTGTGAAAAGACAAGTGTTGCCCCATGCAGGTCCCCAATCGGTACTTTAGACGCATTTGTGGCTTTAATACTACAATTTAAATTTAAAAAAAAAAAAAAAAAAATTGGCTAAACACGGGAAAACTTATGGCGAAATTGGCCAACTCAGTTGCATGTATCGAAAAGTATTTAGCACACAGTTAAGCGGCGCTTACACATACACGCATCCATATGTTATACATACTTATTCTCTAACAAGTTATATTATATTTTATATATATGTATAATTATTATTATTAATAATGCACTTTGTATTGTATTATATTGATTGAGTGTGGCGCATTCTCAAATTTGTTAGCAGCATGTTTTAAAACGATTCCAAACTCATTTGCAAGCGCTTTGTAATGTATTTAAGTTTAAGAGGAAGGCATAAAACATATATAAATATACGATGGTACATGATAATACACATGAAATATAAAATTAACGAAAAAGTATGTAAGATCAATGCAGGCCAAAATCCTTTTAACAAAGCATTTCGAGCACTTCATTTCGGGGCACTGCATGAAATGAATGAATCAATGAATGGGCTGGAGTTCAGCACCACATTTTGTTTGGCATTTGTTGGATATTCAAAATGTGCCTCATCATGGCCATGGTCGCGTCATCAACGCCTCGCACAGCCATAACGATCATTAAGATTTGGTTGTGCACTGATGATACGCATGCTTCAGGGGCTTAGCCCCTGGATGGAGCTCGGCTGAACTTACTGGACTGGCCAACTGGGTGTTCAGCACACATTAATGCAACGGCAGACCGGTATCGATGTGTGGTGTGTGTATGTGTGTGTGTGTGTGTCTGTGGATGCCACTTGAGCCGCAGCCGTTGTTGAGGTGTGTCAAGTAAAGGGTTTCCTCGGGCCGGACTCTGGCCTGCATACAAATTGAGTTTAAATTTTTTGCCAATTCACTGACATTGATAGTTCGTTTGGGCATCGTTTGTGTCGTGGTGGTGGCTTCTTATCCACTTGTTGGCATCGAGTGGTTTTCTCGCATGCATTTAAGTGCAGCTCATTTCCTTCTCTATCGCCCTGGGGCAGCCAAATATTGTGCGCTGTCATGCACCTATTTTTAATACTAAGACGTATCTGTGCTCTAACTTAAAGTGGGGCATATTCACATTGCCACAAGGCTTGCAACAGTTAGGGTGCACATATAAAATGTAGTTGGAAATGAAAGCTGCCTTTCTATCTGATTCACAACTATTAAGTTAAGTTTTTAAACAACCTTTTTTTAGCGTACATGTGCTTGCTGAGCAATATTTTCTTTTAAATATGTATTTGAAAATGTAAGCCGCCTTTCTATCTGATTCTCAAGACTTAAATTAAGGTAAAGTTGTTATTTAGCTAACTTTTTGCTTACCAGTTTCCGTTGCATTAATGTGTCATCCGATTCTCAAGACCCAAATTAAGGTAAAATTATTTTTGATTTAACTTTTTGCTTACCAATTTCCGTTGCATTGATGTGTTAGTGTATTACTGGCTCGGCTTGGTGAGAATAGTTATAATTTCTTGTTTATCGTGGGCCTGCCTGGTTGGCTGTCAGTGGCTGTCCAAATACGTCATCGATTTTTTTTTTTTTGGAATTAAATTATTGATTGCTCGACTGGGGGTTACAGTTTATGACACGGCCTAATCACATCGATTATCGGTGCATGTACATGGCACTTGGCATCCATTCATAACTCTCTCTCTCTGCTGCAAAGACAAAATCCAGTCCCGGGGCCACAGGTCACGTTGCGGCTGATTCGAGTGCGTAGGTGTTGGACATTAACAGAACTGTGCACACCTCGCACAGCAGGTAGCACCGTGTGCGAGCTCTATGGCTGGTTTAGTGTTTGCATAGGCTTGTACCCATGATAATATTGACACATTCTGGTGGTCAGTCAGCACACAGAATCTCATTTGCGAAGTCATTTTGTACAAATAAATCCAGCCTCTGCACGGTGCCGTGTCGTTTTCCCAACGCACAAACCGCATGTTTTGACTTTGCCACTGAGGAGTATCTGGAAATGCGCATTGGAAATTCCGTCGTATTTAATTTTTTTGGCCAACTTGCTAAGCGCGGATTGACTTACCAACTTGCCAACTTGCCGGACGTCTATTGGGGTAATGGGTAACAAAACCGCAGGCATAACCTGCAAATAATCCCTGCACATTTCACACGTTGCTTACGTTCGCCTTAGCCGTAGCGCATCCAGTTGCCGAGACGTAAACATCCGGCTGTGGCATTTCCCAAATCAATAAACTTATTATTACGCGTACTTACATACCATATAGATCTCGCATGCCATAGCCCCTCTCTTGGATTTTTATTTGGAAAAAATCTTAATTAAGCATTTGCTTTTGCTACGGTTTTTATGAATGAAACTATGACGAGTTATTCCTCATCCCGAGCCCTGTCCCTACGCCCAGCTCAGTTCCGTCCCCAGCCCCGCCCTCGGCTATTACACCCAATTTAAGTGGAATTACTTGTGGGCTGTAAATCTTTTGAATTTTTATTTAAAACAAAAACCACAAATGAAAATTCGTTTGATTGTGCTACCTGTGTGCGTGTGTGTGTGGGCGGGGAGGGGGGTTGGGCGGCAGGGGGTCGGCTGCTGCTGCTGCACACCTTACGCCCAACACTTTCGACATTTTTATTAATGAAATTCGCAGAAAAAGTGGCCCACTGACGAGCCGAATGAAGTACTCTCACCTAGCCACGTCTCATTTTAATGAACTACTCTGCTGAGTATGCTCCGCCCTGCCCCCGGACCGCGTACATGGGGGATAAATGGGGACTGGGCGTCGGGGCGTTGTACACTTCTAAACAAATTGGGTGTCAAAAAGTGCGCACATTTCAAAAGATTTAACCGTTTTGCAGGCCGCTTCGGCCGGGCCGCACGCTTTGATCTCAGCCGCCGACGCCGTTTATGTGGCTGCCACTGTGGAGCCTGCTGCTGCTGCTCAGCTACTTGACTCTGTGAGGCAGATGAGCGCACAGTGGCTGCAAAATGCATGCAGCGGAGAGCTACAATTTAAGGCACAGAAACTAAAAAAGAATTTATTTTAAATTAGAGCTGAAGCTCTTTTGTTGTAATTAATTATAGTATTATTTATAATATGAATTTATTATAGTTAATCTTAATAACAATAATAAAAAGGCACAGATACAAAGATACATCCGTCTACTAATTATTGGCAGTAGTGGAAAACGAAGATTATTATTGTTATTATTATTTATTTTAAATATATTGTTTAAATAGCAATGACTTCTATAAGCTTCGGCTAAGATAGTTCTTAGTACATCCATACACTAGCCTGGAATTCCAGTCTGGTTTCTCAATGTTATTTTTGCTAAATGTGATTTGGCTGAATCTTAAAGATATATATAATACTTAGACTAAATATTCGTTATTTAATTTACTTTTCAATTAAACCAATTGATCAGAAAAAAATATAGTCATATGCTCACTAATCGAATTTTGTATTAAATTATTATTATTTTTTTGTAATTTTTTTATTATTTTTTATTTTTCTTATTTTATCGAAGAAGGAATCGATCTGTGCCTTTTGATCTCTACCAAGCGAAAAAATAAGGGAAGAATTTATCGTCAATTATTTAATATTTACAATGAAGGATATTTTACAATGAAGGGCAGGGAGATATTTAAATAGTACGCCTCGTAGGCAGGTCGTTGGGGTGAAAATTATTTTATAATTTATGCTAGTATAAATTTGAATTTGTGTTCGTCTTCAAATATATCCAACATATTTAAGGCAATTACCACTGTGCCACATTGCTATCGTTTGTGCTATTCTCAATATAAACACGTAGTATATCTTTTATCTGATTTGGTTTTTATACCACGCGCCGGCTGTGAAAAAAGCGTCAACGGTGCAAAATTGCGAACGGAGGGGGGGGGGGGGGGGCGCTGTTTTTTATATATTAACACCAGGCCGAACAGCAAAGAGTCCCCCCTAGGCCAAACTGTAGCTACAAAGCGCTCCAGAGGAAGATCAATCCAAGCGCAGCGGCGGCAAATTCGCAAACGCAAACGCAAACGGAATGGCAACTGTAGCTGAACGAGAGGAAAGTGTATATTGAGTTGTCTGGAAGCCGCAGGCCGGGATTAAGGGTGAAACAATGCTGGATTGGCTGGATAGGGGGATGACGATGATGCTGCTGATGCTGCTGATGCTGCTGATGCCACCGTGCTTGAATTTTGGGCTGTGTTATTGTGTGCTCCGTATTATTTAGCTAGGTGTCTCTAGCTGTATCTCTGGCCCATTTGCAGCCGCTTTGTTGTGTAATTGTTTGTTTACGAGTTTGTAACAAAGCCCAGACAAAAGGCCATGGCCAAAAGATTTTATAGTTCAGCGGTTCACACACACGTTCCAATAGAAAAACTGAATCAAAATCCAAAGCTGCAATAACAAAATCATCTTCTCCAGCAATGCATCTTCTTCTGGGCAGGGGCATGTCAAATTATATCTGGTGGCGCGTTCCGCGCGCCTCGTTGATCGTTTTTTGATTGTTTTTTTCTTTTTTTTCCTTTCTCTTTATTCTGTTTGGGTAGCATTTTGCTCTTATCCGTTGGCGCTCCACACGACTAATTGTGGCCGACATTAATGTCACTCTGTATTAAATATAGCGCACATTTTCTGTGTGCCCCGCAAGGCAGAGCTCCATTTCATATTTTGGGAGTCGCGAGGCGTCATATGGTAGGTCTTGGGGCTGCGGGATCATGTGTGATCAGACGGGGGCTCCAACTAAGCAACGTGTTGACAGCGAGTGACAGACACATTCATTAGGCGGAATGATTCATATGCCATTCCGGATGCAATGGGCTATGCGCGATTGGACTAACTTTCCCCCAACGGATCTGCTAAATGTCGGGAAGACAATTTGAAAAGCATTTGAATAAATGATTTAACGTTGTGGTTTTTAGGTGATGACTCAGGTAAATCAGCTAAAGCTAAACATGCCAAGAGACAGATCAGGATCAAAATCTTGATTTATAACTTGTTGCATACATATGTATGTAAAGCTCTTTATTTACTCAGATTCAGCTTTTTAAGATTAATAGTTACTTTATTTTTAAAAGCAAAGAAAGGCAGTCCAAGGATTAAATACCCATGTCTATATAGACTAGCTTTTATGCAGAAGTTTTACTTCCGATCGTTTGTACCCTTAGGAGCTATATAATATAGAAGTCCGTTTTGATACGGTCTTGCGGATACGCTTGGAGAATAGAGAAACTCATAATTGCTGAGTTTGGTGGTTTGGATGCCTTGAAAAAACAGAAGAGGAAAACTAATTTGTCCATCGATTTCCCCCATAAAGCTATATGATATAGTTATTCGATGTTAACAACATTTGGCTCATTGTGAAACTAATAAATCCCGATTTTGGTCTAGTTATTTCAAACAACAAAATAGT